AGTTCGGGAATGTTGTTGTTTCTCTCTGCTTCTAGCCTGCCGCTGCCGCATGTGGGACTGTTGCACGATTCGCTGTAGTTTGCTCTGCTGATGCTTCCAAGCTTCTGCATTCTCTCATCAAAGAATCCCAGCTCACGCAACTCACTCAACACCTCGGATGAGATGTTGAGATGGCCTCGGGGCGTATAGCCAACAGCCACTCCCCGCACTCCCTGGTACGGCTCCGTGCCGTGCATGCGCACTGCTGCATTGAATCTCACACTTCGATGGGACAGCTCATGCAGCTTTCCAGCCTTCGATTGTCCTTCATTGTCCACGGCTCGCACAGCATTGTTGCCTTGTTCCCCTGGAAGTCCCTCAATCCAGAGCTGTCCACCCTGAAACCGGCTCAAGCCTATCACCACTGATTCACGCTCCAAGGAGTTGCGATCTCGATGAGGCCTAAATACCAAATTGATGGCGATGCTGATTGACAGAAACTCCAGATCAGGATGCTGCTGCCGAACCATTTTGCAAAGGAGCCTAGAAAGCCATGGATGCTTACGCGTTTCCGTGGTCACTCCCAACACTCCTCCATGGACGAACAATCCGAACGTCCACAATGGTAAGACCTTTGCGTTCTCGCTGTCGACCTGCCTCAGCCTATCAGTTCGCCTCTCGACCAGGCTAGCCAACTGAACAGCGTTCCACACCTCATCAAAAGTGACCTTGGCCTTTGAGCATAGCTCCTTAGCCTTCTGTTCCCCGGCGTCTGCAATTGTTTCCACCGGAGCTGCCGTGCACTCCTCCTGAACCTTTCCAATGGCTTCAACTGTTGGCATGTAATCAAGGATTTTCAGAGCTCGATCCTCTATCTTCATCACGCAGGCATTTCCTTTACTCTTCCAGTCCCTTGCCAACAACACCCGAATAGGTTTGAAGTCTTCCCATGAAATGTAAGGGAGCCCGTTCTGCTCAAAGCAATGCACCGTTATGACCGTCTCACCGTCATGGTAAAGCACCCGGGGCCCCAACTCATCCCAAATGAAAGCCCCTCGGATTCCTCGCAATCTTCGCACACTCAGTATCCAATCGGCGTCCTGATCCAACTCCTCTTCTCCAATCATCAGCTCTCCGTCCCGGGTTCTCCAGGCATCCACAAGATCACCCGATGCGAGTGCAACATGCGTACGCTTGCATCTCTGAACCGCGAACCCCTCAGGACGAGGTCTAATCACCTCGTTCGCTCCACTGTCCACAAGCACTCTCGGGCCAAATCTCGACTTTGCTACTGCAACCGTGGAGCTATCACAACTTGCAGCAACACTAGCTCTGCTACTTGGATCCTGATTGTCTGAATTTGGGGCCTTCGCGGACGGTGCCCTCGGTAAGGCCGCTGACGCTTTCACAGATGGTACTTTTGGGACTGACGTTGATGCCTTCACAGGTGGTGCTTTCGGGACTGACGTTGATGCTTTCACAGGTGGTGCTTTCGGGACTGATTCAGAAACTGACGCTGGGTATCCCGGAGGTGGGGGCACCGTGGGGGCTTTAGCCAATGGGGCACCCTTCGCCTTAGCATGCTGCTCCCTACGGGCCATCACCTCAGCCCCTGAAAACGGAAGCAGACGTGGACGAAGCAAATCCCTCGCCTCTTCCAATGTCCAATTCTCAACATGAGGCCTAGCGTCACACTCTGTGAGAGCCAGCATTTGCTCTCTTCCACTCTCCACGTCAATCAAATGCACCAGGACTATGGGCCTAATCACCCGATCTTGATAAAGGCAGAAAGTCTGTCGCGCTTCAATGATGTACTGATCTTGTCCGATCCTAATGTTCTCCAGAGGCAGCTGAAAATCAAGCTCCTCCAGGATTTCCCAAACTCCATTTGCGATCAAGTTTGGGCCGTTGACTTGTTCGAAAGGGGCAATGGCATGGGTCATCAGTTGAGTGTCGTTCCGTGTCCAGATCGAGTACTCAACAGGATGCAGAACCAAGTACCACAAAGGGGGCCTGTTCTCGGAATGTTCGCTCCCTTCAAGATCGGTAGTACCGCTAGAGTGGGCCGACCCCGCATCCGAAAGGCTGGACTGCTCATGATCACTTTCATGCCCTGGTCCCTGAGTCGAATCCAACCCCCTAGCAGCCATCGCCACAGCCCGAACCGTGGAAGCCCTAGGTCCCACATCAACTCCAAGCAGACCCGCAACCGCCGATTTCACCTCCGCTTTTGGCTTTGCTTCCGGCTTCGGCTTCGGTTTCGCTTCCGGCTTCGGCTTCGCTTCCGGCTTTGGCTTCGGCTTCGCTTCTGGCTTCGGCTTCGCTTCCTCAGCCGACTTACCGCTACCCTTTGATCCCTTGCCTTTGCCTTTTCCCTTTCCCTTATCCTTGCCCTTTCCTCCCTTCGGGGCATCGTTGTGAGCATAAGGACAACTCGCACCCCTCCAACAGCCTCCAGGCCTCAAGTGAAAGAAGCATGCACGTCCTTTGCCCTTTTCAGCCACCTCTGCAGCCACCACAACCTCGCTACTTTGAGCCGCCCTAGCATCCCTAACCTCTTGATCTGATGCAAGACGTCTGCACTCCACCTCAAGCAAATTGAGATATCTCTCCAACCCTGCTGTTGTAGGAATGACAATGTCCGGTAGCATTCTCAAGAGGTTGATCCTCATGGCCAATTGGGGGTTCTTCTTCTCCAACAGCCGCATCAAGCTATCCAGAGCTGCAATACTCTCATTAGGCGCTTGTTCCGGAAAGCCCAGACTCTGGGCTCGGCTCCGCGCCAACTTCCATCGTCGAATCGTTGTCATTGCAGCCTTGAAGTCTGATGCCGAGGGCAGCTGTCTCAGGTATCGTTGGATCGATTCAAGTTCCTCGCGCCCCCCTGGAGCGTATCTCTCATGAAGGCTTTCGAACATGAGCACACAACGAACACTATTTGAAGTCGAGCTCTCCACCACTGGCTGGCGGACTGTCTGCGGGAGGCACTTGAGAAGTGTCAGAGACAGTCTTGTCTCCATTTCCGAATCCGTCGCCAACACGTCAGGCAAGGGCTCTTCAACTCCAGACAGTCTCTTCCTCTCGTAACGCTCCCGCCCCTGCTCATAGATCTTATCAAAATACTCAGCTAGTCTCTGGTGGATTGCGGTCATGACCGTTCTCGTCTCGACCCTCCACTGGTGGACCATCATTCCAATCTCCCATGGTTCCCCACCAGCCGACAAATCCAACTTGGGAGCATCCTTTAACAGCTTATAAGCAGTCTGGGGAATCTTCACTTCCCTCATCTCGGCACCCTCTGATGTCCTCTTCATGTCAGCTGGCAAAGTTGGTGGAGGTACTCTCGGACCGAAGTCCAAACCTGGAGGATCCCCAAGCTCCCTGTCCTGATCAGGCCAATCAAGCCCATCACCCCACCATGCATTCGCATACTGTTCCTCTGCGTTGCTATCAGCTACAGGAACTTCCGGAGTCATCGCATAGTACAGGGGCCCGGACTCTTGTGGAACATTTGCGTTCTCAACTCTTTGTCTAAACCCGAATCCCTCAGCACCTATGCCAATCTCCCGTCTAATCTCAAGATCCCGTTCTCGTAATCGGCTCACAAGACCCTCAAGTTCAGTCACCTTCGTGACCATCCAACGGGTCTCCGACAGGCTACTCTCAAACTTAGCCCTCATCAAGTCAGCCTCAGCTTGCGCCTTATCCAAGCTTAGCTTAAGCTGCTCAATTTGCTCATTCATGATGTGTTGTTGTTTTGTCATTGCACCCATGGTCTCTGCATGCCGCTCCAGCATGACTACCAGGTACTGCTTCTGCTCTTCGGCAGACTTATCAATGAGGCCATCGTAATCTTCCCGCATGGCAGCCTGAGCTGCCGCCGCTGCTTCAAGATTACCCTCCATTGAATTCACTTTCTGAAACATCTCATTCCACTTGGACTTCATATTGGCTTCAAACTCTGCAAGAAGGCTCATCGTCCGTTCATGCTCTGTCGATAATGAAACCAATTTCTGATCCTGATGCGCACCATGGGATTGCAGTGCACTCACCGTTGCTTGCAACCCTGAAATTTGCTCTCTGTTCTCTTGGCTAGCGGAAGCCGTTCTCATAACGCACTGCCCTAACAGCTCAGACCTGCGGAAAAGCTCATCAGCAATCTCTCGCATGTGTTGACGAACGTGATCAAGGCTCGCCATCTGTCCCAACTGAACACCAGCATTCTTCAAGGTTTCAAGTCGTGAAATCAGATCAGCAGGAATAATAACCTGCGAAAGCTGTCGAAGCACCACTGATGTATCCGCTTGATTTCCTGAAGACGCCTCTGCTGAATGTTGTAGTTGCTGCTGCTGCTGC